ATATTAGACCACACACATCCAGTGCTGTATCATGTCGCTGCTTCTTAAGCAGAACTCTCTAATTTATTTCAAAGGGAAGTTCTGCTTCAAAATTGAGGGTGTGATATGAACTCAGAAATTAACACAAGAATTTTCCTTGGGGGGAACCAAGACTGAATCAGACATGCAATAAATGACCTCGTAAGCTCTGTGCCTTGGTACATCCACGTATCCAAAACTGTGCTTTAACATAAAATATTATTTCCACCATTATCTTGTTTCAAGCTAGGTAGAAGAGCTGAAAGAAGTGTATTTGCTTCGGTCAGGAACAAATTACTCATCTGTCTGAATGCCAGGAGGTCCATCAACAGCCATCGCACTCCCAACGCTTTCTGCCGGAAATGTAACGATTGGTGGGGATAGGGAACCATCCCGGCGAGGTCTTGCACTGCAAGCCCTGCTGCCAGGGAACCTGGCTGGGATGCTGCTCTCCCACAGCAGCAGGCACTGCTGGGAACACACAGAGCTACTGCTGGCTTCCAGCTGCCCTCCTTCCTCCCTCCACACACAGTATCTGGAGGGAGATGCAGCAGTCCTCTCACAGCAACAAATCCCCATCACACGGTGACGTGAGTTTTCCCACTGGTTTCAACAAGATCAGAACACAACACAGGAAAAAGCAATATTAAACTATTGCCCTGACAGTGCAAGTCAGGACAGAAAGGCAGAGAAGCAGCTGAGCTGCAGATTTCCAGCTGCTGTGGGGGCCACAGTCTCCTCCTGCAGAGGGATGGAGCAGCCTTGGGGAAGGGGATGCAGCAGAAGCAGCCATGTCCTGGGGCTCAGCTACTGCTGCTTCAGCTTCTGTCCAGCCAAGAGCAGCCCTAGACTGCAGCTCCATACTTTTTGACTTTGTGTTAGACATTTGGGCCCCGTGGCCCCAGGCCAGCAGTAACTGCACTTTCATCTTGCCCTGCCCAAGGGGACATTTCATACCCTCTGAACAAGCTCAAGGAGTCCAGCGGACCTCGGGAACCAGGCTCTGAAAAGCAACATTATTTGTGAGTCCTGCTGTCTTATTTGGGGACCTCAGCTGTGCAGGACTTTGGGGAGGTACCCCCACTCTTCTGCTCTCATGCAAGCTATGGTTTGACAACTTAGTAATTCTGAAAATTAGGTAGTATCTATTTTCCTAAGAAAAAGAGGCTCTTGCACTTCTTTTTCTCCCACAGACAGAAAGTCCAGTGCCTCAGCTGTACATATAAAACATTTTAATCCTGCCTTTACACTACTCACACACTCACCAAACACATCTGAAGTGCACAGAAGGTGTGAGGAGCTCCCCTCAGATCTCTCCCATCAATGGGAGCAGGGAGACCTCATGCCCTATATACAGGGCAGCATGGCTCATTCCCCTATTTTATAAACCTATTTACAAAAAGAACTTAAAGGAACTTATAAGAGCTCCTTTTACCATTTAACTACCACATAGTACAAGATATAACAATGTTCAGAAAACCCCCTCAGGTCTAAACTCAATTATACAACTGTAGCAAGAAAAATATTTTAATCTGATCAAAGTGTTAACATGTTTGACCATGTCTGACCTCTAATGTTTGTAACCACCTAAAAGGCTGCTGTTCTTACTAAGGATGTACCTTAATTTGATTTAAAGTCATTTGTACTATTTAAAAAAGGATATAGTTTTATGATTTTATATTTAATTTAGAAAAACAGTTCCTCAACTTGTTCATATTCTTTGTAAGTTTCTTGCAGATTTTTAACCCGTAACTCCTATATATTTCATTCTGGGAAAAGCTGGACTTTGAATAAGATGGGATAAACCGGAGCCTTGAAGCACCACACACACAACAACTGAGAGCCAGGTGAGAAAAGGCTCTCCTGGGGCCTTGCAGAGTGTCAGGATTTCAGATGCACACACAGGCTATGCCAAGATGCTCTTTAACCCTTGACTGAGTGTGCCCTCCCCAGCCTGGCAGCTGATGGGCTCACAGCTCCCAGAACAAGGGACCTGGGCTCAGCCCTCTGCCTTGTCCCCAGCTCCAGAGGCACCCTCACCCTGCCCATGCCCCCAGCAACAGCTCTACTGCCACTCCAGGAAACCTGTGCCTGCCCATACCAGCAGCACTCCAGCTGAATCATCCCACACTGGCATTTGCCACCTTCAGCCAAGGAGAGCCACCCAAGCTCCTGCCACCCCCTCTGCTACTGGCTGTCCAGGGAGCATCAGCCAGACTTGCTGTGGCTGCTGATGTACCCAGCCATCTTCAGAGCATCCCTCTGAAGCAGCAGAAGAGCATGTAAAATAACATGGCTGGGTGTGTTTTGGTAAAAAGAGGCAATTTTGGCTGGGAGATGTGGGGACTGAGCAGGATGTTCGGGTGAGCAGCATAACAGACAGTGTTACAAACACCTTGAGAGAAACAATGCAGAAGTGATGCTGCTGACAAAATCAGAAAGAAAATAGGAAAACAGCACCCTGGTACTGCTGGTAGCAACATACCCAGGCTGGCAGGTGCTGGAGCCAGTCCAGAGCCACTTGCAGCTCCCTCACAGGGTTCATGGGGAGCCCACCATAAAACAAAAAATAAGTTTTACAGAGCATTGCAGGGCAGGCATTCAACCCCAGCCTCGGTGCCAGCTGCTCAGTGTCTTTCAGGGAGTTATACTCTATTTTCAATCAGGTAAATTACTGTTTTCAATGTAAAGCCCTGACAGTTTGCCAAAATACTCCCAGTTTAATTTTTTAATTGATTTTTTTTTTTAAGATTCTAAAATTAATCCTACTTGTAAACAACTGTTTCCAGGAAGCCTCATTAACCAAAATACAATCTCCACTATCAAGTGCATGCATGATTGTGATATGTAATCCTATTCACTCAGGCAACCCTCCTCCCCAACTCTTCTTGTGCTAAAGTGTTAATTAAAAACACTTTTATGGATGGTTAAGTATCTGCAATCTTTGGTCACAGATCTGACCTCCTCAATTATTGGAAGCAGACACCAGATTACAGCACACACTTTATATAATGTACACAGCAGCAATAAATCTATATGAGAGCAATCCATAATTTACCATGATAACCTCAGCACAGTCAATAGAAATACAAGACAAAATTACCCAGAATAATATACTGAAATAGTTATTGTAATAAATTTAAAACCTGCAAGACCAGCCTTCATCTGAGGAAGAAATCTTCTGCTGTCTGCTAGGTAACAGATTTTTAACTGAAAACATCAAATCAGCTCTTCATAAACCACGGCAGGATCTAGACAGGCCTAAAGGAAGCTATTTGAGGCACTGGATGATTTTGGTGGAGATGGGATCATTCCTTCTATTCTACTTATGTCCTCTCCCCTTCAAGCTCTGCAGTCTATTTGCTCCTGTCTGCTGCTCTGACAACAACTGCTTGGATTTTATTCTGTTATGAAGGGAAAAGGTGATTCCTCAACCTACAATCTACTTTATAGCCTAGCTGGTAATAAATAGACTACTGCACTTTGCTGCCCATGTAGGAAGAGTTTAAGTTTAAAAGAATATTCCACCAGAGCAAAAAGATGCTGGACTAACATAACTGTGGATTTACCCAGATTCTATCTGAGGGAGCAAATTAAGCATGTTTACATAAGACAAATTTAAAAGCATTTAAAGTTTATCAGGAAGAGAACAGCGTAATATTTTGAGGAATAAGAGGGATATCTGGTATCTGGATAAGGTGGGAAGCACCAGAAAAAATGCTTATTTGGGTTACAACAATGTAAGTTGGCCTTGCCCTGCAAACACATATTTTCTTGCTGTAAACTGAAGGAAGACTTAAAAATTTAGGGATAAATCCTCAATATCTGCAAACTTCAGCACAGTTCCAGCAATATGCAGCCAGGAAAACTGAATCCCCTAGGAAAAGCTGTGCGGGGTACAGGCAGGTTCTTGCAGGGACCTGTCTCCTGCTACCCAGGCCATCTGGGTCAGGTGTGAGGGCACAGCACTGATTTCCACAAATAGAATTATTTGTGTTCATACTTGTTTGTATAATTGTTGAGTTTCACACTCCACAATCCATCCATTTTTCATAAAACCAGTTTTACATCCTACCCCTCCTGTGAACAAATGACCAGAATTAAGGACAGGTTTATATATTCTTTTAAACTTTATCCCTTTTAAAGGTTAAAACCTGAACCTGAAACAAAGCAAATTACATTCTGTCCTCACCTGCTGATGGCTAATGCAGAACAATGTCTGCCACAGATGCAGCAGTGCCTGCTCCCAGGAGCGACACCAGCATTGACTGTCTGCTGCAATGTCAGAACACTATTTTCTGAAGTTCTGATCAAGATGGTGATGGGAAAAGGCAGCTTTTATAAAGAAGACTTTAGTTAATCATTCAAATAGCAAAACCTAGAAACATGAGAACATACAGAATTACTAAAGTTGATTTAAACTGAGAGGGAAAAACTTTACAGGAAGAAGACGGGAATAGTCCTCCAGCACGAAGCTTCTTCCTAAAAAACTCTATTGCCATTTCAGAAACACAAGATCCATTTCCCGGGCCATCATCCACAACAGAGCCCTAACACACAGCGTGCCAGAACTTGGCTGCTTTACAGGCAGGTTCAAGCTCAGCTGCAAGACATATCCCTGAACACAAAGACCAGGAGCTGCTCCCTCCAAAGCCCATGACCCAGAAAAAGGAAGGGACATTCCTCCATGAGATATTAGGATTTGATTCCTGTAAGAGTAAAGCCAAACCTAGAGGATAAGGAGACTGGAAAAACAGTTTCTCCAGCCAATTCAGAGTGAAGCAGGCACTTCCTGCCAAGCATCTCTGCCCCTTCCCACTGCTTTTCCTTTCAGCTTGGACAGAACAGTGTCCAGGTATTTCAGAAACCGGGCTCCAACTTATCAGGTAAAAAGCGAGTGTAGGTGCCTGCACAATACCTGCAACATACTTCAGCAGTGAGAGAGGCCACAAAACTTCTCCATAAGGAGAGGAGGAACTTACCAGAGGTGACATAGATCCATTGGGCAGATACGGATCTGAGAGCATCAGGAAAGGGTAACCAGAATAGGCAGATCCTTTATACATCCCTGGGTCCTGATGTTTCATACCTGCTGAAATCAATGTTCCCTGTAAGAATTTGTCTTATTACAGGTGACTCCACTGCCTGTCGGGGGTCCCCAAAGAGGTTACAGCATGTTGTTGGAATCTTTTTGTCCCATACTCCTCAGAGAAGGTGTTGTGGAGTGCCAGGGCCTCCCACGGGTGCGGACTCCCACAATGAGAACACTGGGAAGCCTCGGTGCTGTCAGCAGTAGCTTTCCCGCTGGGGGCTGTGGTGACCAGACTGGCATCCCTCACTCCCAAAGGTGTCAGGGTGATGGGCTGGGGAACCGGGGGGTCAAGCACTAGACGGGGTGCACCGGGGAAGGCCAGCGGGAACCGGGAGCGGGGAGAGGGGGACACACAGAGACACGCAGAGGTTGCGGTGACTAACCATCATCCATGTGGTCCGGGAGCTTCTCCTGGTACACCCTCTGCGGATCCTGCACTCTCCGGAGGGCCTGCACGGGGAGGAGAGAGAGGGGCAGCGCGGGGGCGTGGGGCGGGGGCGGCGGTGGGGCGGGGGGCTCGGGGCCGCCGTGCGGGGCCGCTCCGGCCCGGCTCACCTCGCCATCGGCGGCGGCCGGGCTGCCGCTGCCCTCGGACTCGTTCACCAGCGAGGACTTGAGGTCGGCCAGGTCGCGCTCGGTGAAGGCGTTCTCGGGGATCTTCTCCTCCTGCTCGCCCTCGTCCTTGAAGGCCAGCATCTCGTCCGTGGCGCCCAGGTCGTCCCCGCCGCCGCTGCCCAGCTGCGGCATTTTACTCTCGCCGCTCCCTCCCCGCCGCGCAGTAACTTTCCCGGCGAGTATTGTTCTCCCGGATCAAGCCCTTCGCAATTATGATTTTTTTTTTCTCTCCCTCAATTATTTTTTTTTATCCTCCTCTTAAAAAAAAAAATTAAAAATAAAAAATAGCTCCCTCTTGAATTTTTTTCTTTTGAAAGTTTTTTCCTCCTTTCCTTTGAACTTTTAAACTTTTTTTTTTCCTTTAATTTTGTTCCCCTTTTCCAAATTCCCTTTAAATCCTTCCTTTAGAAAAACAAACAAAAAAAAAAATTAGAATTGTTTTTCCCTCGTCACTCTTTTCTTTGCCCCCCCCTTCTTCCCTCCCCGCTCCGGCGGTCGCGGGGGGCTCGGCCGGCTGCGGGCGGGCGGGCAGGCGTCGCGGGATGCCGGGCTCCACGGGCCCCCCCGTGCCGCCGCCGCCCCCCGCCCTCCGAGCCCCGGCAAGTTTGGCTGGAGCAGCGGGCGCCAGCGGCTGGCGGAGCTCGGAGCGCCCGGTCCGACTGCGAGCGCGGCGGCGCGGCGGGAGAGCGCTGAGACATCAAAGCGGCCGCCGGGTGATTGGCAGCGCCGGGGCGGGGCCGGGGCGGGCACACACAGGGACACACAGACACACGGACAGACACACACACACACACAGGGACACACAGACACACACAGGGACACACGGACACACGGACAGACACACACACACACCCAGGGACACACAGACACACACAGGGACACACAGACACACGGACACACGGACAGACTCACACACACAGGGACAGACACACACAGGGATAGACACACACACACAGGGACGCACAGACACGGACTGACACGCACATGCAGAGGGACACACACAGGGACAGACACACAGACACACGGACAGACTGACACACACACTTTGTGCAGCCCCGGGTGTGTGTGCACATCTGTGACACACACGTGTATGCACACGCATCTCTGCTCACACGTTTGCACACAAACCTGTGCCTACCTGTGTGCACACGTGGACGTGGCTGCACACTCATCTGAGCCCCGTGCACATCTGTGCCCGTCCACGTTCCTGCACACACTTGTGTGCACGCACACACCTTAGCACAAGCTCACCTGCACCCACTCGTGCATGCCCACAGTGCCCACAGCTGAGCACACACATGCACACCGCAGTGCTCACTCATGCCCAGAGCTGCATGTGCACATCTCACACCCATCCACACATGTGTGTGTGCACACATCCACGTGTGCACGGTCTGCTCACACACATCAACATGTGTCAGGGTCTGCACGGCCCCACACACGTCTCCACAGGTGTGTGTGTGCAGCTACACACACCCACACACCCACACACCCACACACCTGTGTGTACACACAGCGTGCACATCTGCACATTCGACACACGGCAGCACTCACACAGCAGCACACGGCAGTGGGATCCACACACAGCTCCAGACACACCAGCACAAAAGAACACACCATGTACACATCAGCACGCACAGCTCCACATCTGGCATGCACAGACATCTGTACGCACACATCTGCACACACAAACACGTCTCACATTCACCTATGAATCGACGAGCACAGATCAACAGCACATGACTAAACATAGAGGACAGAAGGCCATACGTGGAGCAGTGGACACACACTGAGCACATGTGCCCACACTGAGACAGCAGGACGTGTGTGTGCACACAGGCGCACCTCAGCACGTGTAGGTGTGCGCTGAAACTCCTCGTGATGTGTGTACAAACACACCTGCAGCATCAGGACACGCGTGTGTGCACAGATGGACAGACACGAACATCCACACACACGCACTGAGACACGTCAGGGCTCGTGTGTCTGAGCACAGGCACACACAGCACACGTGTGTGCACACACCCACACACCCACAACAGCTATCCAGCTGTCCATTCCCAGCTGTGGCTGCAGACACACCCGTGTCACCCGTGGGTGCCACCGCTGTGCACCCCTGGCACGGGTGACACTCCAGCCACCGCACCCTCGGCCCCTTGGGAGCACAGACATGACGTGGGGTAGCAGAAAATTATTAGTTTTCCTGCCTGGCCCCGAGGGTCAGGAAACAAGAAATTACCATCTTCACAGCCCGTTTTGAAGGCACTAGACACTTGTGTGTCGGCGTCGGAGGGTTTTTTAAGCAGTTCCCATGGAAAAGGAAACTCCCCATCTCTTCTGATCACACACGACAGGTCCTGTGCATGTCTCCAGTAGCTTAAAACAACACACCGATATTTATTTTCCTTAATTAAGATTGCATAAGATAGCCCTGGGTCCTGGAGACTTTGCTACAGACTGTAATGACGCCATGTAAATTGTTTTTTATGACCCAATATACAACATATTGTCACATTCAGCCCCTGAATAGGAAGCTAAAAATCTTGGTCCCTATTTTTCTTGTTAATTAGGGTATTATTACTAGGGATATAATCTCATTACTTTTTGGGGAGGAGAAGAACTAGCTGGAGCCACTTTGAAAAGTACTTGAATATATTTAAATGGAGCAAAATCTGTCTTTCTGCTAATTGCTGATTTTGCATGACATAGAATTATTGTTCTGATTTTGGGGCACAGTTGATGCCAGGCTGAAGATGTGAGAGGGGAAGGATGCTGTTTGCTTTTCTCCTGCTCAGTTTTCTCCTCCAAATGAATGAGCTGCCCCATAGGAAACTCTGTTGGCAAATTTCCATTCTTTTAAACATCCCAAAAATAAAATAAGATGCAGCCACTTTGAGGAATAATCATTTGAATGAAATATTTGCTACTTTAAGATTTTTTTCCCCTTCTTTCAGATGATCCTCTTGTTTTGCATGTGAAAAAAATCGTCTGAGATTTACAGCCCTCCCAAATGGAGATAAAGCCTTGGCAATGAGTTGGAAACCTGTTGTAATCTGTGATCCAGGAAACAAAGAGCCTCATTAATGCAGAGACTTTGGTGAGCCTTTGATGTTAGCTAGCATAGCATTCACTCTCAGTTCCATTTGCATTTAAACATTCATAAAAACATCATCTCTGCTTCCTTTGCCTTAAGCAATTTAGGAGTAAAGTATAGCTTCTATTTAAAGAAACCCACTGTGGTGAGGCTTAGAATACAAATATCACATAATCTTCAAGCAGAGCAAATATTTTATCCTACATTTCTGGTGGGCACATTTAATAATATTATATGTAAGACCCAAAATAAAACATCCATCTTATTTTCATTAACCTTACACCACATATTCGAGTCAAAAGAGAAAACGGGCCCTGTTAATTTTAAATATACTACATACCAATTTGTGGAAGTAAGAGAATCCACAGGATTTTACATTATTGACAAGACCTGAATTTTTGAAAACTGCATGCCTACAGCAATGTGCCTAAATCTGTATTTAGGCACACAACACTGAACATTGTTAGCAAGGTCAGGTTTATATATACCTATATATGTATATTTATTTTTTTCTGGACTGCAGAATCTTCATCCTGGTTTGAAAATGGAATAGAAAAAGATTTTTTAAATTATTTTTTAATTTTTATTTTTAATATAATCAGAGGAGTAAAATACAAAAAAAAAAAAAAAAAAGAAAAATAAAAAAAGAAAAAAGAGAAAAGGATAAATCTAACATCTGAAGATTTTCTTGATGAGAAGATGAGAAGGCCCTGTTGCTCCCAGATGGCATCCTGAGGGAATGGCAGTATGTGGGGAATTTGGGGAATCACTTAGAAAGCAAAGGCCTGTCTATATTATTATCTTCATAATATTCCCCAACACACGTAGGAGAAGCGGAAAAGTACAAAAAATACTGAAGCTGGCTTGACTTGATATTTGGAAATATTCAGCTGGAGTTGTCCATGTTCCCTGTACCCTTAAAAATAACTGAGCAGTAGAAATTGATCCTGTGTCACATGGGTAGTTCTTGATATTCCCCTTCTTACGAGTAAATACAAGGAAATCTTTAGGTTTGGTGCCGCGAGTCAGTACAGCCTGACTGGTGTTTGAAGCATTATAACCAAGTTTCCTATATGATGAATATCCAAAATTAAAAACTGAAATGGAAAACACTTAAAACCAACTTTACCTTGGATAAAATATTTCTGGAGCTTGATCAAAGGAAAACAAAAAGCCTGGCTTACTTGTCAGATCATATCTGTACTGAACTTCAAGGTTTGATTTGTATTATTTACATGGAAAAGGTCCCAAGAAACCAATTTGGCACTAAATATCTTCATTACGTTTTTTCACTTGTATGGGTGATTAAATCAATCTACAGTTCCTGTTTTAATTTTTTTTTTTGAAAGGTGCAGCCATCTGTGAATTGAGGAGCTTTTCTGATGTCATCTTTGTGCTTCAGACATACTTTACCCCCTTCCTTTTTAATTTTTTTTTTTAATAAAGAAACTTTTAAAGGACCATGTTTACTTTACTGTTAGAGTTTCTAGCTGGCCTTCCAGTAACTGTTTAGAATTAAGGGTGTATAGTAAGTTTTTAGAACATTTTAACTGTAACACCTGCAGGTAACAGTAAACCAGATTAAAATATAACCAAGTCTGTCTGTGAGTCCGCCTGTACCTCATCCTGCTTTTATCAACATGTTCCCTGAACACTGTGTGTGAAACTCAGCACATGCATTTTGTACCATGCTATGCACAGCAGCACTTGTGGTTTTACAAGTTAAAGTGAAGCCTCTCCTTTAAAGTCAATGTAAATGTTGCCACTGACTTCTCTGAGTCTAGGGCTCCAACTTCTGTGCTTTAAAATGGCCTTTCTTGGGTTTATTTAATTTAGGGGATTTTTTTATATATATTATTTTTTATTTTTTCATTTTAATTGATCGGTTTGGAGTAGTCCCATTTTACTCTTTGGACACATTTTGTCCTCACACACAATATGGGTAAGGGACACATCTACCCCTGGCAGGTTAAACATCCTACATCAGCTTTCCTATTTCATTGTATTTGCAGCAAACATGTTGCCCTGATATGCATATACAAATCCAAATATGCTTTAATTCAAACCCAGATTTATTTCAGCTTTTTTTTTTTTTTTTAACCTCTTAATCATTCTCCACTAACAGAAGAGCCTTCTAAATATTTACCATTCTTTTGGAGAGCCACGTTTGGAGACAACCGTCCCATAA